GGTCCCCAGTGAGCTGTTTTTGTTCACCTGGGATAACTCTCCCTTCTGCCTCCACCCTGCTGGGCCATGCTCAGTGGGTGGGGCAGCCGCTCTCCTCCCCAGGGCTCACATGCCGGCCTGGGGTGTGAGCTGAAGTTAGGAAAGTATTTTCCCTGTCTCTTGCGATTGGAGGAAATGAGGCCCCAGGATCTTGGGTGGGAGCTGAGAGATGGGTTCAGAAGGAATGGGCACTCTCCTCTCCTGGCCTTATTTCCTCCCTTGTAAAAAGGAGGCAGTGCATCTCCCTCTGCATCCTCCCAGAGCTGCTGTTTGGCTCAGGTGAGATAATGTGGAAAAGTTCTGATAAGAGTAAAATGACATGTCAACTTAAGGTAGTCAGTCTCTGTCCTGGGTGCTTATTAGAATCAACAGGAGGTTTTTTAAAAAACAAAAACAAACAAAAAAACGCACAAAAAAACAATGCTGTGCCTAACCTAGAAATTCTCATTTAATTTGTCCATGGTGGGGCTCAGGCCAATCTAGACCGTCCAGGTGACTCTCCTGTGCAGAACGGGTGGGAAACACGGGTCTAAGCTAAGCTCTTTGGAAGTGAACTTGTCCAGGAGTCCTTCCTCCTTCCTCTCCACTCACCCTGACCACGTGATGCCGAGACAGGCAGTGGGCTATGAGTGGCCCTTTCTCTCTGGCAGTTTCCTGGAACCATCCCAAGTCATTGCCACTCCAACCACCTTGCTTGGCTGCAGGGTGGCATCTTGGAGTCATATGTGGTCAGACAAAACTGGCTTCCAGTCTGGGCTTGGTCTGGGCTTGGTCCAGGCTCTGCCTGAGTGTGTGATATTTGGCAAGTGATGTCACCTGACTGGACTTTCAAATCCCTCATCTGTGAAATGGGAATAATAACATTGTAAGGATAGTTTTGGGAACTATTAAAGGACAAGTACGATGCTTAGCACAGTGCCTGGCACAGCTGACATCCTCAATGGCAGCCCCTAAAAAAAATCTCAAACCCTCCTATGTTGCTTTTGCCATTGTGTGTGGGATCCCAAGGAATTTGCACCCCCAACTCCTAGAGGCCCAAGTGCTAGTGATGAGTACATGTTGGATCCCAATAATAACCCCACAAGGCAGGATGTGCAGGTTTCATTCTCCTTCTACAGATGGGGAAAGTGCATTCCAGAAACACTGAGACCTTGCCCAAGGCCTCAGCCTTCCAGACCACCAGTCCAGGGCTCCTTCACTTTATCCCAGGGAGCCTTACCAGTCCCTCACTCAGCTACCATCTGAACCCCCCAGCTTCTCTACCAACTGGGTACCAAACAATCCTACCACTTGTGCTGCACAGGAATTGCAAATGTCTGAATGTGGAGGGAAGATAAAGGGAAATGGCACAGGCTAGAGAGAGAAAGGCGCAGTGAGAGCTGAGAGGAAAGAATCTGTTTCTTGGGGCCAGTGGTGGGGCTGGACAGGAGTTGGAGATGTTCCCTGTGCCCGGGGGGCATTGGGTATGACTCATAGCCCCTCAGTGACCAGGATCTAAGACCTGGATTCTGGGCCAAGTTCTGCTTTTTAAACTACTCTGTAACCTCAGATGGTTTCCCCTTGGGGGAACCTCAGTTTTCTTACCTATAATATGGGAATGTGGGATCACATCACTGTTTTTCAAGCTGCTATTTGTCACCCATTTGCAAGTTGTAAAATCAGTTTAGTGGATTATGACCAGCAATTAAAATGAAGTAGAAGAGAAAAATAGCAGGAAGAGTGAGTGTTGTTTTGTGAAACTTCGTGTTAGGTATGGACCCATGTATGGAGACACTGTGTAAAATGTATTTCACAATGTGGTCTCAAAAAATGCTGGAAGATGCTCAGCTGGGTGATTTTTAATATGTTTACCAGCCCTAATTAACTCTAGAACTCTGTAGGATAAAAGTATGTCTTTGCCTAGAGAAGAGACAGGGAATAAGGCCTGGGCAGGTGGGGAGACACAGCCACCGGAGTATCGGTTATGTAGTGTTGGGCCATCTGCCAGCAACTCTATGCTGTGGCCCCCCCAAGAACAGGAGGCGAGAGCTCCAGTCACTCACTGGCAGCCAAGTCCGCCTTACCTGCCTGCTGCAGGTGACCCGGTTACAGGGCCCAGCTGATAAGGACTGAGACGCTGACAGTAACCCCCACGCACAGTCTGGAGCCGGTTCCGTGCTTCTCGGGTTACCTCTGCCAAAGGTGGACCCAGAATAAGTTGGGGGCTACATCATCGGGTATATGTGATCAGGTTTGGCTGATCACATACAATCAGTGCATCCCCAAATAACAAAGGCTTAGAGAAATACACAAGAGGGGAGTTTACTCTTTCCTTACACAGTAGACCTGCATGCAGGCAGTTCTGGGCAGGGAAGCAGCTGCACGCGTCCCGGGGCCCAGGCCCTGTGCAGTCCCCAGGCTGCTGGCCCCGGGCATGCACGGTCCAGGATGACCACCCGCAGCCTGGGCAGTGGGATGGAAGAAGAGGGAGGTAAGCAGACTGAGGGTATTTGCCAACTGCTTTGAAAAAGAGGTTTCCTCAAAAGAACTGAGAACACGCATTCAAACGAATGCTCGCATATGAATGTTCATAGCAGCGCTACTCATAAGAGCAAAAAGGGAGAAACAACCCAAATGTGTCTCAACTGATGGATGGGTAAACAAAATATGGGAAATCGACATACAGTCGGCCCTTGAACAACACAGGTTTGAACTGCTGGGGTCCACTTATATGTGGATTTTTGTCAATAAATACAGTAAATATATTTTCTCTTACTTATGATTTTCTTAATGCTATTTTCTTTCCTGTAGCTTACTTTATTATAAGAATACCATATGTAATGCATGTGACATACAAGATATACATTAACTGACTGTTTATGTTTTAGTAAAGCTTCCAGTCAACGGTAGGCTATCAGTAGTTAAATTTTGAGGGAGTCGAAAGTTATACATAGATTTTCAACTGTGCAGGAGATTGGCACTCCTAACCCCCATGTTGTTCAAGGTTCTAATGATCAATGCTACCACATGAATGAACCTTGAAGACATTATGCTTGGGGGCTGGGTGAAAAGGTGAAGGGAGCAAGAAGTACAAATTGACATACAATAGATTGATGGCAAATGTGAGTCCTGCTTTTCCTCACCCTCCAGCCCAGAGAAGCCTTGCATATCCCACAAGCACTCTGATGGGGAGCAAGCTCCTTCTTGCCGGGGCTCATGTTTGGTGTCACGAGAAACAGAAATGACCTAGTAGGGACATGCCAAGTGCCCTTCAATCTCCTTTCTGTGTCTCTGCAGCCAAGGAACCCTGGAGCTCAGTCTTTCCTTTGTCACTTTCCCTATGGACAAACCACTGGCCTCTGGGATGAAATGGGGACACCTCCGCTCTTGGCACAGCTACAGCATGTAGTGCATAACCCTTGGCAGAACACAGAAGGGTGTGGACCTGTTGAAGGGGAGGCAGATGCCAGCTATAGATGTGGAACCCTGCACCCCTCTTTCCTTATGCCTGTGTTTGGCAGAGACTGTCTGGGGACATTCTTTCTGCTCTCAAAGAGCTCATGTCTGGAATGGCGAGCTTCACCTGGGGGAAGACATGCATCCTTTTGCATTTGGGAGGTAGATGAAGAATCTCTAAGGGTTCATGTTATCCGAACCCACATGTTCCTTATGGCTCTTCTTTTTTCTAAAACAAGACAAGGAATAAAGTTCTACCAAGTCTCTGCTTACAGGGATGCACAGCAGGTAGTGAGCAAGGTTGGGGAGGAGGCAGAGGTTTGAAAGGTGGGCCATTACCCTAGAGAGACTAGTATCTACAAGACATAGAGCTCGGAGTCGCCAGGGAGAGTCTAGGACCTGGGCTGTCTTCACTCGATATTTAGGTACAGGAACATCCATCTTCTCTCCTCCCTCCCTCTGTCTCTTCATTCCTCCCTTGCCCGTCCCTTCATTCATAGATAAACTGTTCCATCGCTTATAATGTGCTTGTCTTACCCACTGCTGAAGCTCTTTGAGGGTTAAACTTCTTTTCACACTTCTTACATTGCCAACACTGTCCCCCCCCCCCCC